CTGCTGTTATTTATTGTGCTTTTATTCTGTAGCACCCAAAAGCATATGAGGCAGGAGACAAGTTGGGACTGACTGACACTGATTTTATACAACATGCTATTTCTTTCAGTACCCACCTCACCTCTCTCCTCACTCATTCACAGCACATTTCGCGTGACGGCAGACTAGGATCCCTGCAAGGCAGGGAAGACTCGCACAGCATCCAGGGCAACAAGGCTGTTTACTGATGGCTGCATCGCATCAATATGAAAGGATGAACCATGAACCTGTGCAGAACAAAGCAGAGTGGAAGATCAGCACCCCACAGAGTACGTGATCTCAAGGAACGACTGTGTGCTGGGGAGGCAGAACAGCTGCTGAATTTTAAAGCAAATTTAGAAGCAAAGGTCTAAGGCAGAGCATAGCTGTTGATAGGCAAGCTGTGCAATCCTGGCACAGAGTTTACACAGAGGAGCTCAGGATCCTCAGTGTTTGCTCATGTCAGAGCCCAAGGATTGCCCCACTGCATAATGGGGTGCGGGGGCATTTGCACCACAGCTGGGTGAAATACAACCCAGCAGCACTGCCCTCGTGTAATCTGCCCCACACTGTGTCACATCTTCCTATTCTGGTCTCAGCTGGCCACATCTGCCACCAGATGTGCACCGGACGAGCCCAAATCCTCCTGTGACCCAACATGCACAGGGTTTGTGCGTGCAGAGTCCTCTCTCTGCACGCCAGGGACTGCTGCAGCTTTTCTGCTTGGTGCTACCTTGGGACTTTTGTCTCTGCTTACCCTTCCTCTGCAAGTTGCTCAGCCCTACCCAGAAGGTGATTTGCAGTATTTCCAGAGAAATAACAAACCCACCTGTGAGGGCAGCATCAGCCAAACTAGTTGAAATGTGAAGAAGAGCCATGAACCCTTCACAGAAAATGGGTGGTCAGGGCTAGGTCTCCGGCTGCTTTGACTGACAATAACCTGTCTGGTGATGATAGCGGAAACATTTGCTGATAGCCTTCTGCTTCTTCGAATGCATGAAAGGCATGAAAGGCAGCATGAGGTCATCAGGTAGATATCAGCTTTTTAGAACCAGGCTGTGATGTCCTGCATGAAATGTTGATTCAGGTGGAGCCTGGGAAACTCTCCTGCAGGTAGCTGCTGCAGGGAGCACACCCTTCAGGTCAGAGGAGGAGCCTGGAGCCAAAGTAGCAGTATTTACATGACAAAACCTGCCTGGAAAATGGTGTTTCTCATCTCAGAGCCTAAAACTGCAGATGGGAGTGGTCCAGGGGAGTTTCTCCCAACTGCAGAACTTTATCTTCTAGTTCAAATCAGGTACCTCAGCCACAGAAACCTGACAAATGACAGCTACTGCAAATAACTCACCAGCTCCTGTGACAGCCAGGAATGAGGATATCTGCCTCTGAACCTGAGGGGACACCTGCAGAGAGGGGCAGGGAGGTGGCGGTATTTATACACTCCCCCTGAGTCCCCATGGGGCTCACAATGCAGCTGGGAGCAGCAGAGCTCAGGTCTATGCTGTTTGGACGGATGTGATGGAAAGTATACAAAACTAACGGGGTTTTGAGTGGAACTCCTTTAATGTCAGCTGCCTGGTGAGAGATTTCCTTTCATTGCCTCCACAGATTATGGCATGGGACAGAGCACACAAAGCCTTC